TGGGCGGCCTGCAGTCACAAGTCGCAGGATTTTATCTGGAGAGAGAGGGGAGAAAGAAGTCAAAGCATAGGGTAGGGCAGTGTGAGCAGGACCAGCAGTGTCATTAGACTTAACAAACGAGGATCGGATGTCGTCAACCTTCTTTTCAAAGTGGTTGACGAAGTCATCTACAGAGAGAGAGGAGGGGGGGGGGGGGGGGGGGGGGGGGGATTCAGGAGGGAGGAAAATGTGGCAAAGAGCTTCCTAGGGTTAGAGGCAGATGCTTGGAATTTAGAGTGGTAGAAGGTGGCCTTAGCAGCAGAAACAGATGAAGAAAATGTAGAGAGGAGGGAGTGAAAAGATGCCAGGTCGGCAGGGAGTTTAGTTTTCTTCCATTTCCGCTCCGCTGCCCGGAGCTCTGTTCTGTGAGCTCGCAATGAGTCATCAAGCCACGGAGCTGGAGGGGAGGACCGAGCCGGCCGGGAGGATAGGGGACACAGAGAGTCAAAGGATGCAGAAAGGGAGGAGAGGAGGGTTGAGGAGGCAGAATCAGGAGATTGGAGGGAGAAGGATTGAGCAGAGGGAAGAGATGATAGGATGGAAGAGGAGAGAGTAGTGGGAGAGAGAGAGCGAAGGTTGCGGCGGCGCATTACCATCTGTGTAGGGGCAGAGTGAGTAGTGTGGGAGGAGAGTGAGAGAGAAAAGGAAACAAAGTAGTGGTCGGAGACATGGAGGGGAGTTGCAGTGAGATTAGTAGAGGAGCAGCATCTAGTGAAGATGAGGTCAAGCGTATTGCCTGCCTTGTGAGTAGGGGGGGACGGTGAGAGGGTGAGGTCAAAAGAGGAGAGGAGTGGAAAGAAGGAGGCAGAGAGAAATGAGTCAAATGTGGACATAGGGAGGTTGAAATCCCCCAAAACTGTGAGGGGTGAGCCATCCTCAGGGAAGGAACTTATCAAGGCGTCAAGCTCATTGATGAACTCTCCAAGGGAACCTGGAGGGCGATAGATGACAAGGATATTAAGCTTAAATGGGCTAGTGACTGTGACAGCATGGAATTCAAATGAGGAGATAGACAGATGGGTTAGGGGAAAAATTGAGAATGTCCACTTGGGAGGGATGAGGATTCCTGTACCACCACCCCTCTGACCAGATGCTCTCGGGGTATGCGAGAACACATGGTCAGACGAGGAGAGAGCAGTAGGAGTAGCAATGTTTTCAGTGGTGATCCATGTTTCCGTCAGCGCCAGGAAGTCGAGGGACTGGAGGTTGGCATAGGCTGGGATGAAGTCAGCTTTGTTGGCAGCAGAACGGCAGTTCCAGAGGCTGCCTGCGACCTGGAACTCCACGTGGGTGGTGCGTGCAGGGACCACCAGGTTAGAGAGGCAGCAGCCACGCGGTGTGGTGCGTTTGTGTAGCCTGTGCAGAGAGGAGAGAACAGGGATAGGCAGAGACATAGTTGACAGGCTGTAGCAAATGGCTACAAAAATGCAGAGGAGATCGGAATGAAATGAGCTAAGCATCTGGGAGCGGAGAGAGCAGGGCCTCCCTCACCAAAAACGTCTACCTCAGAAACTAAAATTGTTTCACTGAACCACCCGAACAAAAACTCTCCAAACTTCCGCCTTTAGAAATCAGAATTGTTGTGAACCACAGCGGTTCAATGTTTAAAGGAATAGACTCAACCCACTTTGTTCAGCTAGCCAACTATGACTCCATAGCCAACTAGCAGACTAGCATCCAATAACAATAACACACCGTTTAGCACCAACACTTGGTCACAACAAACCACCAATAGTGTGATAACACACTAAACAGATCATTCGTGTCTGTGTCAAGTTCCTTTCATGACGCAGCAATGATTAGACGTTGGCTAGCTAGGACAAGTATATTGTATTTAGCTACTACCGTACAGTTAGCTGGTCGTGTTGGGTAGCTAGCAATGGCCACTGTGTTGACTTTGTTTGAAGAACGGCTAGCTAGCTAGCTTCGTGCTACACCCGGCACACAATGGCTATTGTGTTGACTCTGACTCTGTTCGAAAAAACGGCTAGGTAGCTCGCTTCGTGCTACAGCCGGCACTGCAAAGACACAGTAACTACACACAACAACCCACGATGCCTAGCTATGACGCCGTAGCTAACTTGCAAGCTAGCAACCATTAACACACAATTTAGCATCAATACTTGGTTACAACAAACTGCCAAGAGTGTGTTAGCACACTAAACAGATAATTCAAGTCCGTGTCTAGTTCCTTTCATAACGCATAACGCAGCAAAAAATTAAACGTTGGCTAGGACTACATTAACATTGGAACCAGCTCTCCAGCGTTGCTAATCGTTACCAGTAGCTACCCGCTAGCTAGCTAGCCTCGTGCTTCGATACTAACCTACAATTACCTACGGAAACCTACAATAACAACAATACTAACCTATAATAAATACAATACCTAACTACGGCTAACTACCTACCTACGATCTAATACATGGTTAAGCAAAAATTAAACGTTGGCTAGCACTACATTAACATTGGGACCAGCTCTCTAGCGTTGCTAATCGTTACCAGTAGCTACCCGTTAGCTAGCTAGCCTCGTGCTTCGATACTAACCTACAATTACCTACGGAAACCTACAATAACAACAATACTAACCTATAATAAATACAATACCTAACTACGGCTAACTACCTACCTACGATCTAATACATGGTTAAGCAAAAAATTAAACGTTGGCTAGCACTACATTAACATTGGAACCAGCTCTCCAGCGTTGCTAATCGTTACCAGTAGCTACCCGCTAGCTAGCTAGCCTCGTGCTTCGATACTAACCTACAATTACCTACGGAAACCTACAATAACAACAATACTAACCTATGATAAATACAATACCTAACTACAGCTAACTACCTACCTACGATCTAATACATGGTTAAGCTTTACTCAACACCATATGAGAAGCTTACCTCCTGCTTACCTCCAGCTAGAGAAAAACACGACCTCTCCCGACAACACTCCAGAACAACTGTCACAACACAACTGATTGGCTCAAACGCATTAAGAAGGAAAGAAATTCCACAAATTAACTTTTAGGAAGGCACACCTGTTAATTGAAATGCATTCCAGGTGACCACCTCATGAAGCTGGTTGAGAGAATGCCAAGAGTGTGCAAAGCTGTCATCAAGGCAAAGGGTGGCTATTTGAAGAATCTCAAATATAAAATCTATTTTGATTTGTTTCACACTTCTTTGGTTACTACATGATTCCATATTTGTTATTTCATAGTTTTGATGTCTTCACTATTATTCGACAATGTAGAAAATAGCAAAAATAAAGAAAAACTCTTGAATGAGTTGGTGTTCTAAAACTTTTGACCGGTAGTGTACCTATCCCACTGGGAACACACTGTTTGAATCAACATTGTTCCACGTTGAACCAACGTGGAATAGACATAGAATTGACGTATGTGCCCAAGTGGGGTCTGTGCTGTTTTATGTAGGAATTGCAATGAATGTCTTTAGGTGGAATCTCAGGGAATAAACCTCTAGTTTTATGAAACTCCTGCCTCTCTCTCTCCATTGAATTGCAATATAAATGTTTTTGCCCGAAGGCGACCATTCACCTTCCCAGTCTCTCTCTTTCTCTTGCCTCCCCTCAGAAATCATTTGATCTTTCTGTGGCTTTAACTCGCTGCATATATAATTTTAATCATATGCTGTTTCAACGTTCTGTGAGAATTCAAGGGACACACAATGCAGGAGGGGTATGGCTCTGAGAGAATAGGACATGATCTATGAAGAGGAAAACTAATTTCCGGCCTATCTGAAGTGAACTTAGTCTCTGGCTTTCTCTTTTTTCACCTCTCTCTCTCTCTCTCTCTCTCTCTCTCTCTCTCTCTCTCTCTCTCTCTCTCTCTCTCTCTCTCTCTCTCTCTCTCTCTCTCTCTCTCTCTCTCTCTCTCTTCTCTCCTCTCTCCTCTCTCTCACCCTTTCTCTTTCCCTCCCCCCTCTCTCCCTCCCTTCATTGATCTCTCTCTCCTTCTCTATCCCGCTCTCTCTGTCTCTCCCTCCTTCTCTCTCTCTTTCTCTCTCCCCATGTCTTTGAATGACCTTATCATTGCATCGTTGTGATTTCTGCTAAGCGTGAATTATTGTGTTTTTGGTGCTTCACTTTTAGCTGTTAATGCATTAATGTAGTCTAATCTAAATGTGAGTCCCAGGCTCAGTTTGAGGGGTAAAGCTGTTTATTCAACAGGATGGAAATAGGAAATAGGAGGAGAGGAGTATCAGTGAAGACATGGACGAGGAATAGTGTTAGAGTTTCTATAATGAATGAGATTCCCATTACATTCAGTCTTCACAATGTGCTAAAAATGTTCTGCTAGCACAGTTTTCAGTTGTACTGAAACGGCTGGGTTAACAACACTATTACCTTGATCTTTTTTCTTCTTTGTTACCTTTTGTCTTTATCTTTATAACAATGTTTTCTTTATAAACTATATACCGTAGTTAGTCATGCACTTGTGTTCTCTAGATGCATATGTAAAGTAAGAGGAACTTAATTGAAGTTTGGATCAATGATTATTCTCTTTGCTTTGGAATGACAGGGATGCTGAAATAAATGTAATCTGGCTGGATTAATCATGTTTGGCATAAAATATAAACTTTTCATGTAAGCGGCCACTGAGCACTAGGGGGCTATAAAATAACCTTGTCAAGTGATTCAAGTTCATTGTTTTGCTTACTACGCAGTCATAGAACACTATAAAAAACATCCAGCATGATTATTCATATTAACCAGTGTTATGAATATTTATTTTTGACAGTCCATTTAGCAAATGCACATTTTATGGGTAATATCTTCTACGTTTGTAAATCAGTAAGTTTGCAAATTCTATTGATGCTCTTCCAACCAAGACTGAAAGTTCTGAAACAATATTTTCACTATTAGGCCCATTGTTAAGATTCAGAAATGTTTGCGATGTAATTTGACAATATTCAGCTCGAACTATGTTAATTCTTTCTTTCAGATTGGTGTTCCCAAATGGTCTGTCCAGTGAATACTCTCTAGTTATCACCTTCCGGCTGAGGAAAACCACAAAGAAAGACCGCTGGTATCTGTGGCAGATATTCGACCAGACGGGAGGTACCCAGGTAGGTCAGAGTCCACTAAAATTATATTGATGATGTCTGGATGTATAGGATTGAAGTGGGTTTGCATGTATATTGACTGGTTGGTTGATTTATTGATTGGTTGATTGACTGATCAGTCGATCGCTCACTCACTCTGCCAGTTGGCTGGCAGGTCGGTCAGTCCATCGGCTGGTTCGCTGGTAGGTCGGTCGGTCGGTCGGTCGGTTGGCTGGCTGGTAGGTCGGTTGGCCGGTAGGTCGGTCAAGTCGGTTGGCCGGTTTGTTGGTAGGTCGGTCTGTCGGTTGGTTGACCATTGGTTAATTTATCAAAGTTTTCATGCCATGACTGATGCTTGTATCTACCATGACCCAGATGGTAATGGTAATGAATGGAAGGTAACACTTTACCGGCAGGTATAAAGCTTTGTAACATGTTATGAGCTGATATAATGTCTTACAATCTCCTCCGGCTCTACCTTCAGGTGTCCGTAGTGTTGGACGGTGCTAAACGAGAAGTGGAGTTCTCAGCCCGGGGCCTTCTGAAGAACAGCCTCCACTACACCTTTAAGAGCCGAGACCTGCACACACTGTTTGACCGCCAGTGGCACAAGCTGGGTGTGGCGGTCCAGAGCAGCATCGTCTCCATCTACATGGACTGTAAACTAATAGAGAGGAGGCTGACAGACGAGAAGGATGAAATTGACCCCATCGGATATACGCTAATTACGACCCGGGTGGAGGATGGACGGCCTGTAGATGTACGTTTAGGTCTAAAGACACAATCTGGAAATATAACCATTCTGAAATGCATAGACGGAGCAATGGATAAAATGACTGACAGTCCATGAGATCGACATGATAGTTTTAAACAGTAATTAGAAGCTATATATAGTTGCCTTCAAGGGCAATATCTAGAAGGGTCCCAGCAAACTGGGAACATTCCCAGAACATTAACTAAGATTCCCATTAAGTTCTAGTTAGGGTTTTATCTAAAATTAGGATGATAAGATCCCTTTTGATTACAAACATTTTTATTTAAAAAAAAGATGTATCCTAACATTCACTAAAATGTTGTGCACAACATATGTAACAACCATCACAGAACATTACCCAAAAGTTCTCATTAGGTTCCGGGTAATGTAATAACACAATGTACCAGTAATGTTTTCCCAGCAAACCAGAATTGGTTCTGTGAAAGTTCCCAGAACATTCGTTAGGTCGTGGCAAATGTTCTCATAACACAAAAACTGTCCATTCGTGGTGATGATTAGAGAATGTTTGTATAAAACATTTGCCTGATGTTGCAAGAACTTTCCTATAACACATTTAATCTATTCGTTAAAGGTTCCCAGAAAGTTTCATTAGGTTGTGGGAACGGTCTGGTGGGAATATTGTGGGGACATCACAAAAGATATGTTCCCAAAACACAAAAACTGTCCAGTTGTGCGGATGATTCTACAATGTTTATTTTAGAGTGCAAAACACCTTCATCTGATGTAACAAGGATGTTCCCAGGTGGTAAGGGTAGGCAACAACACATCTGCCACGCTGATCCTCAACACGGGGGCCCCTCAGGGGTGCGTGCTTAGTCACCTCCTGTACTCCCTGTTCACCAACAACTGCGTGGCCAAAATTCACCCAATTTATTGTGGGAAGCTTGTGGAAGGCTACCCGAAATGTTTGACCCAAGTTAAACAATTTAAAGGCAATGCTACCAAATACTAATTGAGTGTATGTAAACTTCTGACCCACTGGGAATGTGATGAAAGAAATAAAACCTGAAATAAATCATTCTCTCTACTATTATTCTGACATTTCACATTCTTAAAATAAAGTAGTGATCCTAACTGACGTAAAACAGGGCATTTTTACTAGGATTAAATGTCTGGAATTGTGAAAAACTGAGTTTAAATGTATTTGGCTAAGGTATGTAAACTTCCGACTTCAACTGTAGCCTCTGTATTGTATTTTATTGTGTCATGTTTTTTTTAGTTTTTTTTAAACTTTAGTTTATTTAGTAATTTATTTTCTCAACAATGTTTCTTGAACTGCGTTGTTGATTAAGGGTTTGTAAGTATTAGGCCTGATCACGACAACGATGAGTCAGCCTATAGGGAGGAGGTCAGAGACCTGGCAGTATGATGCCAGGAAAACAACCTCTCCCTCAACGTGAGCAAGACAAAAGAGCTGATCGTGGACTACAGGAAAAGGAGGGCAGAGTATGCCCCATTCACATCGATGGGACTGTAGTGGAGGGGGCCGAGAGCTTCAAGTTCCTTGGTGTCCACATCACCAACAAACTATCATGGTCCAAACACACCAAGACATTTGTGAAGAGGGCACAACAACTCCTATTCCCCCTCAGGAGACTGAAAAGATTTGGCATCGTTCCTCTCTCTGTCATATACTGTTCTCACTGCTACCGCACGGCAAACGGTACAGGAGCACCAAGTCTAGGTCCAAAAGGCTCCTTAACAGCTTCTACCACCATGCCCTTTTTATTGTGTTGCTTTTTTCTTACTTTATTTGATTTGATTTCTTACAGTTTTTTGGGGGGAGGGGGGGGGGGGGAATCTGCATTGTTGGTTAAGGGCTTGTAAGTAAGCATTTCACAGTAAGGGCTACACCTGTTGTATTCGGCGCAACTGACAAATAACATTTGATTTGATAACTGAATGTCAGCACAACTGGACAGTTTTTGTGTTTTGGGAACATATCTCTTGTCATGTCCACACAATGTTACCACAACCTAATGAAATATTCTGGGAACCTTTATAGAACAGACGAAATGTGTTCTGGGAACGTACTTGTAATATCTCATGTTTTTTTGCACCCTAAAAGAAACATTCTAGAATCATCTGCACAACTGGACAGTTTTTGTGTTTTGGGAACATATCTTTTATGATGTCCCCATAAAGTTCTCACCAGACTGTTCCCATAACCTAATGAAACATTCTGGGAACCTTTTAAGAACAGTTATTGGACGTTATTGAAACATCAGGCGAATGTTTTATACAAACTATCTAAAATCATCACCACGACTGGACAGTTTTTGTGTTATTAGAACATTTTCCGCAACCTAACGAATGTTCTGGGAACTTTCACAGAACCAATTTTGGTTGGCTGGGGTTGCTTAGTATCAGTCAAAACAACAGGTTCGATTTTTCAAAATATATACAGTATAGTTAGCATTTTTTTAAAGTTTGTTTTTCTCTATATCTGAATCATAATGTCCCTAACAGAGGTCTTTCTCTCCAGATCGAACTACAACAAATCCTGATCTACTGTGACCCATACCTGGCTGAGATGGAGAACTGCTGTGAGCGGGCAGGATCCACGGTAAGATATTATACACTTCTCTCCAGTATGGTGCACATTTTAGGACATTTATGAGACAATCAGTTTCTCACAGTAGGAAAATAATCCTGCAACAGCAGGACATTTGAATTATTGTGTGGATTATAATGAATGGACATTTTTATAAGGGTTGAAAAAATGTTTGTTCGGGCAGATCAAATCTGGAAATGTTAAAGTGGAAATTACAAACTTTAGAAGCCTTTTTAAACCTCAAATACACTACAAGTTTGCATTTCCTGCTGTGCAGAACATTTCCTGCAATAACAGGGTGATCGAATTAAGGTCCTATAGTTGAAGTTGGAAGTTTACATACACTTAGGTTGGAGTCATTAAAACTCGTTATTCAACCACTACACACATTTCTTGTTAACAAACCATAGTTTTGGCAAGTCGGTTAGGACATCGACTTTGTGCATGACACAAGTCATTTTTCCAACAATTGTTTACAGACAGATAATTTCACTTATAATTCACTGTATCACAATTCCAGTGGGTCAGAAGTTTACATATACTAAGTTGACTGTACCTATAAACAGCTTGGAAAATTCCAGAAAATGATGTCATGGCTTTAGAAGCTTCTGATAGGCTAATTGACATAATTTGAGTCAATTGGAGGTGTACCTGTGGATGTATTTCAAGGCCTACCTTCAAACTCAGTGCCTCTTTGGTTGACATCATGGGAAAATCAAAAGAAATCAGCCAAGACCTCAGAAAAAACATTGTAGACCTCCACAAGTCTGGTTCATCCTTGGGAGCAATTTCCAAACGCCTGAAGGTACCATGTTCATCTGTACAAACAATAGTACGCAAGTATAAACACCATGGGACCACGCAGCCGTCACACCGCTCAGGAAGGAGACGCGTTCTGTCTCCTAGAGATGAACGTACTTTGGTGTGAAAAGTGCAAATCAATCCCTGAACAACAGCAAAGGACCTTGTGAAGATGCTGGAGGAAACAGGTACAAAAATATCTATATCCACAGTAAAACGAGTCCTATATCGACATCACCTGAAAGGCTGCTCAGCAAGGAAGAAGCCACTGCTCCAAAACCGCCATAAAAAAGCCAGACTATGGTTTGCGGGCAGAACTGAATTTTTTTTTGCGGGCAGAACTGAAAAAGCGTGTGCGAGCAAGGAGGCCTACAAACCTGACTCAGTTACACCAGCTCTGTCAGGAGGAATGGGCCAAAATTCACCCAACTTATTGTGGGAAGCTTATGGAAGTATACCCGAAACGTTTGACACAAGTTAAACAATTTAAAGGCAATGCTACCAAATACTAATTGAGTGTATGTAAACTTCTGACCCACTGGGAATGTGATGAAAGAAATAAAAGCTGAAATAAATCATTCTATCTACTATTATTCTGACAATTCACATTCTTAAATAAAGTGGTGACCCTAACTGACCTAAGACAGGGAAGTTTTACTAGGATTAAATGTCAGGAATTGTGAAAAACTGAGTTTAAATGTATTTGGCTAAGGTGTATGTAAACGCCCGACTTCAACTGTATATCTGTACATCAGGCAAATATATAGCTGCTGTGAATTGGCAGGCTCCATGGTAAGATATTACAGTATACTTTTGTTACTGCAGGATCATGACCCATATTGTGGAGTCAATAGAACAGTGTACATTTTAGGACATACATGAGACCTTCGACATGGCTTGATATACAGTAGAGCAGGGGTATTAAACTCTTACCCTACGAGTTCCGGAGTACTGCTAGTTTTCTGTTCTACCTGATAATTAATTGCACCCACCTGGTGTCCCGGGTCTAAATCAGTCCCTAATTAGAGGGGATTTTTTTGTTTTTATTAAGCAGTGGAACTGGCTTCGTGGTCGAGATTTGAATTTAAGGACAGTAGGTAATATAATCTGGTTGAGTTGTGTTTGTCCTTCTTGAAAACTGCCCTACTGAATTATGTTTCTTCCATAAGGGGCATCCTGTCCAGGTTACTGTGCAATCACTTTGTGACAGCTGCTGATGTAAAAAAGGCTTTATAAATACATTTGATTGATAGATATTCTTCTGTTAGCTCATATTGCATACCAGGTCAATTGAGAGTGACCTTACAGACTGTGGATGTATCCCAAATGGCATCCTATTCCCAATATAGTGCACTACATTTGACCAGAGCCCATAGGGAACAGCATGCAATTTGGGGTGCTAACTGTGTTTCAAAGGAGAAGTGACCTTTGATGTTTTGACAGTTAGGCCTATACGTATTCATAACTATGTTGTCATCTCAGTGAGTGTTGGGTTATGTTGATTCAATGTGCTTGGTCACATGTGGTCAATATTGTTGGAAATAGTGTGTTTCAGTGATCTCTCACCTTTGGCCAGTGGTGTAAAGTACTTAAGTAAAAATACTTTGAAGTACTACTTACAGTGAGGGAAAAAAGTATTTGATCCCCTGCTGATTTTGTATGTTTGCCCACTGACAAAGAAATGATCAGTCTATAATTTTAATGGTAGGTTTATTTGAACAGTGAGAGACAGAATAACAACAAAAAAATCCAGAAAAACGCATGTGAAAAATGTTATAAATTGATTTGCATTTTAATGAGGGAAATAAGTATTTGACCCCTCTGCAAAACATGACTTAGTACTTTGTGGCAAAACCCTTGTTGGCGATCACAGAGGTCAGACGTTTCTTGTAGTTGGCCATCAAGTTTGCACACATATCAGGAGGGATTCTGTCCCACTCCTCTTTGCAGATCTTCTCCAAGTCATTAAGGTTTCGAGGCTGATGTTTGGCAACTCGAACCTTCAGCTCCCTCCACAGATTTTCTATGGGATTAAGGTCTGGAGACTGGCTAGGCCACTCCAGGGCCTTAATGTGCTTCTTCTTGAGTCACTCCTTTGTTGCCTTGGGGGTGTGTTTTGGGTCATTGTCATGCTGGAATACCCATCCACGACCCATTTTCAATGCCCTGGCTGAGGGAAGGAGGTTCTCACCCAAGATTTGACGGTACATGGCCCCGTCCATCGTCCCTTTGATGCGGTGAAGTTGTCCTGTCCCCTTAGCAGAAAAACACCCCCAAAGCATAATGTTTCCACCATGTTTGATGGTGGGGATGGTGTTCTTGGGGTCATAGGCAGCATTCCTCCTCCTCCAAACACGGCGAGTTGAGTTGATGCCAAAGAGCTCCATTTTGGTCTCATCTGACCACAACACTTTCACCCAGTTCTCCTCTGAATCATTCAGATGTTCTTTGGCAAACTTCAGACGGGCATGTATATGTGCTTTCTTGAGCAGGGGGACCTTGCGGTTGCTGCAGGTTTTCAGTCCTTCACGGCGTAGTGTGTTACCAATTGTTTTCTTGGTGACTATGGTCCCAGCTGCCTTGAGATCATTGACAAGATCCTTCCGTGTAGTTCTGGACTGATTCCTCCCCGGTCTCATGATCATTTCAACTCCACGAGGTGAGATCTTGCATGGAGCCCCAGGCCGAGGTAGATTGACAGTAATTTTGTGTTTCTTCCATTTGCGAATAATCACACCAACTGTTGTCACCTTCTCACCAAGCTGCTTGGCGATGGTCTTGTAGCACATTCCTGCCTTGTGTAGGTCTTCAATCTTGTCCCTGACATCCTTGGAGAGCTCTTTGGTCTTGGCCATGGTGGAGAGTTTGGAATCTGATTGATTGATTGCTTCTGTGGACAGGTGTCTTTTATATAGGTAACAAACTGAGATTAGGAGCACTCCCTTTAAGAGTGTGCTCCTAATCTCAGCTCGTTACCTGTATAAAAGACACCTGGGAGCCAGAAATCTTTCTGATTGAGAGGGGGTCAAATACTTATTTCCCTCATTATAATGCAAATCAATTTGTAACATTTTTGACATGGATTTTTTTTATATATTCTATCTCTCACTGTTCAAATAAACCTACCATAAAAATTATAGACTGATCATTTCTTTGTCAGTGGGCAAACGTACAAAATCAGCAGGGGATCAAATACTTTTTTCCCTCACTGTAAGTCATTTTTTGGGGTATCTGTATTTTACTTTACTATTTATATTTTTGACAACTTTTACTTCGCTACATTCCTAAAGAAAATGATGTACTTTTTACTCCATATATTTTCACTGACACCCAAAAGTACTAGTTATATTTTGAATACTTAGCAGGACAGGAAGATTGTCCAATTCATGCACTTATCAAGAGAAAATCCCTGGCATTTCTACTGCCTCTGATCTGACAGACTCACTCAACACAAATGCTTTGTTTGTAAATGATGTCTGAGTGTTGGAGATAGCACCTGGCTATCCATAAGTAAATAAAAAAAAGAAGACAATGGTGCCGTCTGGTTTGCTTAATATAAGGAATTTGAAACTATTTACACTTTTACTTTTGATAATTACGTATATTTTAGCAATTACATTTACTTTTGATACTTAAGTATATTTAAAATCAAATACTTTTACTCAAGTAGTATTTTACTGGATGACTTTCACTTCTACTTCAGTCATTTTCTATTAAGGTATCTTTACTTTTACTCAAGTATGACAATTGGGTACTTTTTCCACCACTTCCTTTGGCCTATGACAGTTATAATATATATTTATAACCAGGATGTTATCTCAGTGTGCATTGAGTTTCAGTACTGAGTCTCAGTCAATATGATAGGAAATAATGAATTGGCCTTTCCTCATTCACCTGGGACAGTCATCTAGTTCCACAGTAATTAAGGTATCTCATTGGGTCAATGAATTATTGGACATTACCTGATTATACTTACGGTAGTGGTACTGGACTGTAATTACATTTCAGACTATTTGAGAACTGCATTTCAACATGTCTTGTATTATAATTGGTTAAGCCTACTCCTAAAATAAATAGCACTTTCAATGGAGATTTTACATTGCTTTCTAGACCTGGATTCTAGTTCAAGTTAACATAATTGCATAACAACATTAAATTATTAGGCTTAATCCGGGTCCAGGAAACGGGCCCTTGGTGTAAATAGCAGAGTAATGTGTTTAAACTCAGCTGGTAGAGCACGGCGCTTGTAACGCCAAGGTAGTGGGTTCGATCCCCGGGACCACCCATACACAAAAAAAAAAAAAATTATGCACGCATGACTGTAAGTCGCTTTGGATAAAAGCGTCTGCTAAATGGCATATTATTATATTATTATTATTATTATTATATTATATTATTATTATATTATTATTATAAACGGTTTGTATATGTCTTTGTATTGATCCTACAGTGTGAGTCTAGCAGGGAGGGCCCTGGGGCTAAAGGGGTGACTCCCAATCCCTTGGTTACAGCTGGAGCAGGCCAGCTCCCCCGGATGCTCTCCCAGCCCGTCCATCCAGCCCAGGTCCACCGGGTCCAGCATTCCAGCAGTGACAGATGTCAGTGTTCAGCAGAGAAGGTACAGTCCATAGAAATAGTCTGCGTCCCGAAAAGCACTCTATTCTCTATATAGTGCACTACTTTTGATCAAGGCCAATAGGGAATAGGGTGCCATTAGGGACGCAACCATACATATTACTAGAGTGATCTATGTTATAAACCTTCCTAACTCTAGAATGTGTTGATGAAGGCAGCCATTTTGGTTTTCTATTTAACTCTGTGTACAATCAGTAGCTGAGGATCGCTCAACTCCGTTCTCTTATATCGAGGTGGAGTTGAGTATTGATAACTGGTCACGCGATTTGCTAGCAACAACATTGAGTCAACATCAGTCGATGCTTGTAAAAATTAAAATTCTGAAAACGCTTACCTGTATCTATGTTTGTCCTATACAACTGCGGTCCTTCACACTTTTCATAAAAACTTTTATTGAATGCAACCACCAACCTTTTACTCATTAGTGTTGCTCAACTGGAGATGTAGCGGCCTTGACGTACTGAGATTCAATTGGCACAAGCGCATTCGTGCTGAGTTGAACAACTCAAATTAGGAAAATGTTGGTGGTTGTATTGTGATGAGGTGTGAATGACGGAGTCAGGCGCAGGAGGTAAAACACTGAAATCCAGAGTTTATTCAGTGTACATGAATAAAGCGCAGCAAGCGTCAAAACGAAACTAGCACAAGGGAAAAATCCACCTTGGCTACATACAAGGAAAGCTAGCAATGAACAATCACTCACAAAGGACAAGGGGGCAGAGGGAACACTTATACACAGACTAATGAGGGAATGAGAACCAGGTGTGTGTGATTGACAAGACAAGACAAATGGAGTGATGATAAATGGAGCGGTAGTGGCTAGTAAGCCGGTGACGACGAACACCGAAACCTGCCCGAGCAAGGAGGAGGGGCAGCCTCGGCTGAATTCGTGACAGTACCCCCTACTTGACGCGCACCTCCAGCAGCGCGCTGACAGCGGCCTCGGGGACGGCCAGGAGGACGCGGAGCAGGGCGAGTCGGATGGCGACGATGGAAGTCCCTCAACAGAGAGGGATCGAGGATATCCCTCACCTGGACCCAGCACCGTTCCTCCGGACCGTACCCTTCCCACTCCACGAGGTACTGAAGGCCCCCCACCCGATGCCTCAAATCCAGTATGGAACGGACAGAGTACGCCTGTGCCCCCTCGATGTCCAAAGGAGATGGAGGGACCTCCCGCACCTCAGACTCCTGGAGCGGACCAGCCACCACCGGCTTGAGGAGAGACACATGAAACGAGGGGTTAATACGGTAATCAGGGGGGAGTAATAACCTATATGTGACCTCGTTGATTCTCCTCAGGACTTTGAACGGCCCTACAAACCGTGGGCTCAGCTTCCGGCAGGGCAGGCGGAGGGGCAGATTCCGGGTCGAGAGCCAGACCCGATCCTCCGGCACAAAGATGGGGGCCTCACTGCGGTGACGGTCAGCGTTGGCCTTCTGACGATGCACGACGCATTGGAGGTGAACATGGGCAGCGTTCCACGTCTCCTCCGCGCGCCGAAACCAGTCATCCACCGCAGGAGCTTCGTTCTGGCTCTGGCGCCACGGTGCCAGAACCGGTTGATAACCTAAAACACACTGAAATGGCGTTAGGTTCGTAGAGGAGTGGTGGAGAGAGTTCTGGGCATATTCTTCCCATGGCAGGAACACCGACCACTCCCCCGGCCGGTCCTGGCAATAGGACCTCAGGAACCTACCCACATCCTGATTTACCCGTTCCACCTGCCCCATTACTCTCAGGGTGGAACCCAGAGGTCAGGCTGACTGAGACTCCCAGACATTCCATGAACACCTTCCAGACTTTAGATGTGAATTGGGGACCTCGGTCAGACACTATATCCTCTGGTACCCCGTAGTGCCGGAAGACGTGAGTAAACAGGGCCTCCGCAGTTTGCAGAGCCGTGGGGAGACCGGGCAGAGGAAGGAGGCGGCAGGCCTTCGAAAAGCGGTCCACAACGACCAGGATGGTGGTGTTCTCTTGAGAGAGAGGCAGATCAGTTTAAAAAATCAACACTCAAATGAGACCATGGTCGTTGTGGAACTGGTAAAAGTTTTAACTTACCCGCTGGGAGGTGCCTAGGTGCCTTACTCTGGGCGCACACTGAGCAGGAGGAAACATACACCCTCACGTCCTTAGCCAAGGTAGGCCACCAGTACTTTTCGGTCAGGCAGCGCACTGTACGACTGATACCTGGGTGACCAGAGGAGGATGACATGTGTGCCCAGTAGATCAGACGATCACGGATAAGCGCAGGCACATACTGCAGCCCAGCTGGACACTGCGGTGGAGATGGATCTGTGCGTAATGCCTGTGCTATATCCGCGTACATCGCCCTTACTACCGGCGCCACAATGCAGGGGTCTGGCAATATGGGGGTATTGTCTCTGGGCCTCTCCTCTGTATCATAAGGCCGGGACAGTGCGTCTGCCTTCACGTTCTTCGTACCCGGAATGTATGACAGTGTGAAGTCAAACCGGGTGAAGAATAGGGCCCACCTGGCCTGGCGAGGGTTCAGCCTCCTCGCTGCCCAGATGTACTCCAGGTTATGGTTGTCCATCCAGACGAGGAATGGGTGTTTCACCCACTCGAGCCAATGTCTCCACACGGTCAAAGACAGGACTGCTCCCATCCCAACCTCGGACGCATCCACCTCCACTACGAACGGTAGTGATGGATCGGGTGGGCCAGTACCGGGGCCGAGGTGAACAGTTCCCTCAGGTTACTGAAGGCCCTGTCAGCCTCAGCAGACCAGCGGAGCCGGGACGGCCCACCCTTCAACAGAGATGTAATGGGAGCTGCGATCTTGCCAAAGCCCCGGATAACCTCTGATAATAGTTGGCGAAGCCAAGGAAGCGCTGCACCTCCTTTACCATGGTTGGAGTCGGCCAATTACGCACGGCTGCAATGCGGTCACCTTCCATCTCCACACCTGTGGTAGAAATGCAGTATCCGAGGAAGGAGACGGACTGCTGGAAAAAGATACACTTTTCTGCCTTGACAGTCGGGCCTGTATTTTGCGAACCAGGGACACATGCTCGGCGCACGTAGCGGAATACACCAAGATGTCATCGATGTAGTCCACTACACCGCGACTAAGCATGTCCCATAATGCCCCGTGGTTATGCTGAATGCTGTCTTCCACTCATCTCCCTCTCGGATACGCACCAGGTTGTACGCACTCCTGAGGTCTAATTTAGTGAAGAAGTGCGCTCCATGCAATGACTCAACCACTGACGGAATGAGGGGGAGAGGATAACTAAATCTAATTGACTCCTTGTTCAGTGGTCGATAGTCAATGCACGGGCGCAGACCGCCATCTTTCTTCTTCACAAAAAAGAAACTCGAGGAGGCGGGTGAAGTGGAGGGACGTATGTACCCCTGGCGCAGGGACTCGGTGACGTATGTCTCCATAGCCTCCGTCTCCGCCTGCGACAGGAGATACACATGACTCCTGGGAGGTACAGCGTCTACCCAAAGGTTTATTGTGCAATCTCCCGCCCGATGAGGTGGCAATTTAGTTGCTTTATTCTTGGAGAAAACTTGTGCCAGATCATGGTATTCGGGGGGAATGCGCACGGTGGAGGCACCGTCTGGACTTTCCACCGTGGTTGCACCAACGGAACCACCCAGACACCTACCCTGACACTCTCGAGACCACCCCGTGAGAACCCTCTGCGGCCATGAGAAAGTGGGGTTGTGGAGTGCTAGCCACGGAATACCTAACACCACAGGGAAAGCAGGAGACTCAATGATGGAAAAAGTGACCTGCTCACAATGCGTCTCCTGTGTGATCATGGTGACTGGTACGTGACTTCCTTTATCAACCCGGACCCTAATGGTCGACTATCAAGTGCTCTGATGGGGCGTGGAATGGATAGGGGAACTAATGAAATGCCCTGGCGGCGTACGAAAGTTTTATCCATAAAGTTCCAAGCTGCGCCTGAATCTACTAGCGCCTTACACTTGGGAACTCTCATGTAATCAAGGAAATATATCGGTATGGTACAGTGCGCAGCAGAGGGCTCTGAACAAGTGTGAGTGCTCAATACCTGGGGTGATGCGAGAGTGCCCTGCCGGCCGCCTCCTGACCCAAAAGAGTGCTGACGACAACATGTGGTGGAATGTCCCTTCATGCCATCCGATTGGCCCTGGCGCTGTCGTCTTCCGCTCTCTCGGTGCGCGGTACCACCCAGTTCCATGAGCTCTGGGTCCGCGTTGGTCGGGGCGGGAATGGCCAGCAGGTTATCCAGACGAATGGCCATGTCCACCAGTTCGGTAAAAGACAAACTGGTGTCACGGCAGGCTAGCTCCCGTCGGACGTCCTCCCATAGATGGCACCGGAACTGGTTGATCAGGGCCCGCTCGTTCCACCAGGATCCTGCTGCCAGAATCCGGAACTCCAGCGCGAACTCCTGTACTGTCCTCGTTCCCTGCCTCAAGTGGACCAGCTGCTCACCCGCCTCTCGACCCTTGGGCGGGTGATCGAAAACCGCCCGAAATAGTCGGGCGAACTCCCTGTAGTCCTCCAACGCGGCTCCTCCTTCTCTCCAAACCGCGTTGGCCCACTCCAGGGCTTTCCCCGAGAGGCAGGAAATGAGGACGGACACCTGCTCTCGATCTGATGGCGCCGGCCTGACACTGGAGCAGTACAGCTCCAGTTGGAGAAGGAATCCCTGACATAGAGCCGACGTCCCATCGAACGCCCGTGGTCGAGATATCTGGATCCCTCCGGGTGCTGTGATGTAGGTGGCTGGATCCGGTTGGCCAGCTGGTCTCGACGGATCGGTTCCTCTTCTCTCCAGGCGTTGGACGACCTGAAGAACCCGATCCATCGCTTCCCCCAAGCTGGCCAGCATAGTGGAATGTTCCTGGACCCTTGCCACTATTCCAGGCATGCGCTCCTCTCCTGCTGACTCCATAGAGGTGAGTGATTATGTGATGAGGTGTGAATGACGGAGTCAGGCGCAGGAGGTAAAACACTGAAATCCAGAGTTTATTCAGTGTACATGAATAAAGTGCAGCAAGCGTCAAAACGAAACTAGCACAAGGGACAAATCCACCTTGGCTACATACAAGGAAAGAGTAGGTCAACCGAGCTACTCACTCTCACAATGAACAATCACTCACAAAGGACAAGGGGGCAGAGGGAACACTTACACACAGACTAATGAGGGAATGAGTACCAGGTGTGTGTGATTGACAAGACAAGACAAGACAAATGGAGTGATGATAAATGGAGCGGTAGTGGCTAGTAAGCCGGTGACGACGAACGCCGAAACCTGGCCGAGCAAGGAGGAGGGGCAGCCTCGGCTGAATTCGTAACATATATTCGATAAACGTTTTTATTAAAAGTATGAATTTCAGCACCCTGCGGAAAGACCTCAGTTGTACAGGACAAACATAGGTACAGGTAAGCGTTTTCAGAATTTACATTTTTACAAGTATCGACTGATGGCAACTCATTGTTGTTGCTAGAAAATCACGCGACCACTTATCAACAGTCAACTCAACTTCGATATAAGAGAACGGAGTTGAGCGATCCTCAGCTACTATCTGTCCATACACCAATTAGAATCCTAATGGGTTGGAGTGTTCTGTTCTGTTCTAATGGAACCATGCATTCTGAATTCCAAATTAAAATATCCCACTGCTGCCACCATACGTATTAAACAAGGAAATAAATGACCAATTAAAGCACATTTCTGCAAATGAGTTTTCTTGGACGCCAACCAAAGGCAGGGAATAAAAGCTTATTAGCAGTAATTTGGCACAAATATGTGGTTTCTTTGTGTAAGACATGCACGCCATCTCCAGAGGTGGTTCTACTAATGTCCATGGAAGTGTTCTGAGAGCAGACTTCAGACAGAGGTGGTACCTTGGGGAGTTTCTCACGTCCTTGGGGAGTTTTTAATGTGTGGACGGACAGTCATTAGCAAGCTAGTTCAGGTAAATTACATCAATGAAATGTTTTTGTTCCTTCTAGGGTGATCAAGGTCTACCAGGCTTGGCAGGACTTCCAGGACAGAAAGGCGATCAAGGAGACAAGGTAAAGGAGATGTTAAATATCTATCTAGCTCAATAGATCCATTAATAACTATGTATGTGTACACAGGTATTTACTTGTTCTACTTACTACCACTGGATGTATTTGCCTGCATACAGATCTGTTTGTGCTGTCTTGCAAGCTCCTACGGCCATTGTCATGGTCTGGAACCAGGTTAATGTACAGTATGTCATGGTGCCATGACAAAAGACAGACAGAGATGGAGACAGAGAAACGACAGACAGACAGAAAGAGAAAGAGTAGCGAGACAGACACAAACACATACATAGACTGAGAAGGAGAGACACAGAGATATACATAGACTGAGAAGGAGAGATACAGAGAGAGACATAGACTGAGAAGGAGAGATACAGAGAGAGACAGACTGAGAAGGAGAGACACAGACAGAGAGACATAGACTGAGAAGGAGAGACACAGAGAGAGACATAGACTGAGAAGGAGAGACACAGACAGAGAGACTGAGAAGGAGAGACACAGAGAGAGAGACTGAGAAGGAGAGACACAGAGAGAGAGACATAGACTGAGAAGGAGAGACACAGAGAGAGACATAGACTGAGAAGGAGAGACACACACAGAGAGAGACATAGACTGAGAAGGAGAGACACAGAGAGAGAGACTGAGAAGGAGAGACACAGAGAGAGACATAGACTGAGAAGGAGAGACACAGAGAGAGACATGAGAAGGAGAGACAGAGAGAGAGAGAGAGAGACATAGACTGAGAAGGAGAGATAGAGAGAGAGACATAGACTGAGAAGGAGAGACACAGAGAGAGACAGACTGAGAAGAAGAGACACAGAGAGAGAGAGAGACATAGACTGAGAAGGAGAGACACAGAGAGAGACTGTGAATCTCAAAACAGCCCCTCGCCCCTACCAACTCGCTCGGAGGGCCCTCTGTTGTCACGTGTTCTGAGGGTGACTTCAAGAGTGGCGAGGAGATCAATAAACCCATCGACTTCGGGACACACTCAAGAATGATGTTCTTCTTCTTTGTTTTTATGTTGTATTATCTCGCTGTCATACTGTGTTCAACCGTGTTGGATCTTGTCAGCCATCTTGTCTCAAGAGGACCACAATGGCAATAAGTCTCAGACTGTATTGTGTGTTCTCCTCCATGATTTTACTCATGTGCATGTATGGCTTTTTCAAGTTGTGTGTGCTTTAAAAAATAACTAAAGTTACACATTTAAATAGTAGAACGAGCATGAAATTCAAATTCCCCCTGTTGTTTTACAATATATAAAAGTCAGTAAAAGTTAAACATTTAATTTATTACATGTGTCAAGCCTTGAAGTCAGACACAAACAAATACAGGTGGCTCTCCATTACGCCTCTCCATTGTTTTGTGTGAAATTGCACAAACTAAAAATAATGTGGTGCGGTTATGGGATCCCACTTCGCTCTGAAGCCGGCAGCTTAGCTGACTGGGTGGAAGTAGCTATCGGAGGGTCTAATACACCCTCCATAATGTTCACTCCCTCAGCATTGGGACACTTGTTCATATGGCAGAGGCACGTGGGAATAAGCAAATGTAGGGCCGAGGGCCGAGGGGAAGGGAGTGATTTGGGATTCAGCCAGAGACTGACAGCGAGAGCGAGACAGAGAGAGCAAATTACAGAAAGAGAGAGAAGAAGAGCCAGTGTGCTTGGCAGAAATATAGAGAAGAAGAGCCAGTGTGTTTGGGAATGAAGAATGATAGGAATTCATTACTCTGAACAGGTGGTGATTCGCCTATTAGGACCAGATGGTCTATGAGGTCATTGACCCAATTACCATAGAGTGGTATAGTTGGGATAAATACATTTTTCAGAGCTAGTAGGAACTTGGGTGTGTCTTAAATGGCACCCTATTCCCAATAGAGTGCACTACTTTTGAGCAGAACCCTATGGGATATCTAATGGGACCTGGTGAAAAGTAGTGCACTGTATAGAGAATAGGGTGTCATTTGGGACGCAGTCCTTCTGTTTTTCCCTTAACCACTCAGGAATTCTGAGAAAGTACAACAGTTACACAAGCTTTAAATCATTATACCTGTAGGACCGGCTGAGAGGAGAACGGGGAATTGGGTTATTTGTGAAACTCTCCGTATAATTAGTATGTTCCCGGTGTAGAAGTGGCATTAAGTTTGTTATAATGGTCCACTAGGACCAAAGAAAACACCTTAGTCCATATATCCTTATTGAACTAGTCTTGGCACTTTAGCTACCATTAATTGTATTAAAAGTAGCACAAAATAAATCTCTTTAAAGTCATTATTTGTTTTTTGAGTTTCAAACTAACTAGTTGCCTCAAGAAATTGTAGGAAAAACTCAAAACTTATAATAGATTCCTGTGAGCACTCCATTTACTTGTTCTATTCAGCTGTGAATTGAATACAAAGACCTGTCTTTTCTGAAAGGGTCATTTAATTACTGTACCTCTGCTGAAGTTGTACGTTTTGACAGACAGGCTGGGTTCAGCGACACTGTGACAACCAATCAACTGCCCCGAATAGGATTCCTGGCATTGTTATTATCACTTTTAGAAGAAGTGCATTGTGGGAGTAAATTAAATTAGCGACAGCTCGTTTAGAAGGCAAGCAGGCGGGACGGAATGGGAATACATGTGTAGCACGGCGCTAAACAAATTCAGGGTATTGTAAAGGAATAATAAAAAGCTATCATTTCCATGACTACGCCGATGTTTAGATTTTATTCCACCTAGGAGGAGCTGTGAGTGTGTTAATACTAGGGCTGTACATCGTATAACATAGTACTAGGGCTGTACATCGTATAACATAGTACTAGGGCTGTACATCGTATAACATAGTACTAGGGCTGTACATCGTATAACATAGTACTAGGGCTGTACATCGTATAACATAGTACTAGGGCTGTACATCGTATAACATAGTACTAGGGCTGTACATCGTATAACATAGTACTAGGGCTGTACATCGTATAACATAGTACTAGGGCTGTACATCGTATACCATAATACTAGGGCTGTACATCGTATAACATAGTACTAGGGCTGTACATCGTATAACATAGTATTAGGGCTGTACATCGTATAACATAGTACTAGGGCTGTACATCGTATAACATAGTACTAGGGCTGTACATCGTATAACATAGTACTAGGGCTGTACATCGTATAACATAATACTAGGGCTGTACATTGTACAATATAATGCAAGGCCATAGGAACATTTGATTTCCTTTCAAGGAAGCTGACTTCTTATAACACCCAGGATTTATCTGTTTAATTTCCTGAAGAACCCTGGATAGCCACAGCTGTTTAATCCCTGTGAACGGGATTAGGATCCTCCATCCAACTTTCACTGCAGTGCTGGATTAATACTTTATCTTTTCTTGAAGTAACACAACCACAAAGTAATCCCCAATTTCCCCCCGAAGCTTTCCTTGTAAGGTCATAATAATTAACACACAGTTCTCATTATGATTATGTTTGAACGCTCCAAAGTCTAAATAGTATTGGAGCTTCTGTATTAATCTCTGTCAAAGCCAAGCTAAATTGCCAATAACTACGTAAGGGGTTCATTAAACGGTTATAAGGTTGATTATATTTTCTGTCCCCTTTTTCTATCAAAAGTAATCATTCTGCCACAGTGGCTTGCGAAAGTATTCACCCCCCTTGGCATTTTGTACTATTTTGTTGCCTTAAAACCTGGAATTAAAATGGATTTTTTTGGGGGTTTGTATCATTTGATTTACACAACATGCCTACCACTTTGAAGATGCAAAATATTTTTTATTGTGAAACAAACAAGAAATAAGACAAAAAAACTGAAGACTTCAGCGTGCATAACTATTCACCCCCCCCAAGAGTCAATACATTGTAGAGCCACCTTTTGCAACAATTACAGCTGCAAGTCTCTTGGGGTATGTCTCTTTAAAATTTGGCAAATCTAGCCACTGAGATTTTCGCCCATTCTTCAAGGCAAAATTTTTCGCCAGCTCCTTCAAGTTGGATGGGTTCCACTGGTGTACAGCAATCTTCAAGTCATATCACAGATTCTCAATTGAATTGAGGTCTGGGCTTTGACTAGGCCATTCCAAGACATTTAAATGTTTCCCCTTAAACCACTCAAGTGTTGCTTTAGCAGTATACTTAGGGTCATTGTCCTGCTGGAAGGTGAACCTCCGTCCCAGTCTCAAATCTCTGGAAGACTGAAACAGGTTTCCCTAGAGAGTTTCCCTGTATTTAGCGCCATCCATCATACCTTCAATTCTAACCAGTTTTCCAGTCCCTGCTAATGAAAAACATCCCCACCACATGATGCTGCCACCACCATGCTTCACTGTGGGGATGGTGTTCTCGGGGTGATGAGAGGTGTTGGGTTTGCGCCAGACATAGTGTTTTCCTTGATGGCCAAAAGCTCAATTTTAGTCTCATCTGACCAGAGTAACTTCTTCCATATGTTTGGGGAGTCTCCCACATGCCTTTTGGCGAACACCAAACGTGTTTGTTTATTTTTTTCTTCTATTTTTTAATAATGGATTTAATGGTGCTCCGTGGGATGTTCAAAGTTTCAGATATTTTTTTATAACCCAACCTTGATCTGTACTTCTCCACAACTTTGTCCCTGACCTGTTTGGAGAGCTCCTTGGTCTTCATGGTGTCGCTTGTTTGGTGGTGCCCCTTGCTTAGTGGTGCAGACTCTGGGGCCTTTCAGAACAGGTGTATATTTACTGAGATCATGTGACACTAAGATTGCACACAGGTGGACTTTATTTAACTAATTCTGTGACTTCTGAAGGTAATTGGTTGCACCAGATCTTATTTAGGGGCTTCATAGCAAATGGGGTGAATACATTTTTTGAATTAAGTTATTTTTTTCATTTCACTTCACCAATTTGTACTATTTTGTGTATGTCCATTACACGAAATCCAAATAAAAATCAATTTAAATTACAGGTTGTAATGCAACAAAATAGGAAAAACGCCAAGGGGGATGTAAACTTTTGCAAGGCACTGTATTCCTGTCCTCTAGCACTGATTTATTGTATGTTCATG